GAGGTTGAGATGGGAAGTTGGTGTCCGAGTGGATCGAAGTCACGATAGCTCAAGTGGTAGAGCAGCGGCGTATTTAGCCGAAGATCGTGGGTTCGAATCCCGCTCATGACCCTGACTTTTATCTCTCGACCAATACCTTTCATGAAGATTAATTAACAAAAATTATTCTAACCACATATACACTTTATTCTTATTATGAGTAGCTTTCTGGGACGGGAAAATAAATCAGCATAATACATTAAAAACAGCAATGAACAAAGGGGCTACCCTTTGAAAAGGTGTCATACGAAGACCTATTAAGTACCTTAAGCTTGATGATGAGGAAATGTGTAAGATGTCTTTGAGCTTCCAGAGAAAATCTTGTTGATATACTCGATTCAAATCGAGGAAGCCTCTCCAGCATTCTTTCTTATAAAAGATAAAATACGATGATAGACTGTCGAAATGAATGGTAACTATAAATCACAATTGATGTTCTAGGTATATGTTATAAGAAGCAAGGATTTGAATTTTTACTTAAAGATAAATTGTTTAAGTTTTTTACCAAAAATTGTCATTACATAAATTTATGATAATATGACAGTATGATATGCTCTCATCATCAAAATGGCATGAACATTAATTTATGTAATATTTATTCCTCGTAGCACTCAAGAATAATTTAAAAATATATCCACTTTCGTTCAAAATGTATATGGTTTTCATAATAATTTTTGTGTGTATGTAACAAGCCCCTCTTTATTTACATTGATGTTTTCATCCCTCTAAGTGCTACTAATTAGTCAGAGTAGAAACCACTGAGTGAAATATTTTGTTTTGTTTTTATGAATGCCCTGGATTTCTGATTAAAGCGTTTGAACGAATTGTCAATTAAGGCAAAAGTGTGAATCCGTCGTATAAGACTCGGATCATTTTATAAAACGTACGTATAAACATGTGTTCACCATTTCACCAACGGTTTTTTATAAAAACAATAACCTGGAACCGGAAATTAATCTTATCTCTTTAACGACAGCTAACGACTGGTTGGACGTTAAGTTACATATTGTTTTTGTACGTTTATTATTAGAGCAGACAAATTTAGTTTAACCTGTTCACATCAGTGATTCAGTGGACTGAAGAATGTAACGTCTTTAATTATATTTAAACCTTTTTATGCCTTTTCTCTATCTAGGTCTCTATTAGGTTCATACTGGATCACACGTTTAATTAGTCGGAATTCGTTCATTCACGTCATGTGGAAAAGCAATATTTCTCATCCTTCATTGATTCGTTCCATTGAGGGTATATTCCCAACGTCTCTCGCGTTGGTACATTACCAGTCCAGCAATGTATATCCCTTGACTCTCATGAATATCATGGTTAACCAACATAGACGGGAGCTTAAAAATTACCCGTGACGTAGTTCTTGCGTGGCGTAGAGAACGACGCTACGGTTACTATGAATGCGAAATTTTGTTCTGACTAGTACGCCGAAATCCTCTTCAGAACAAGGTGGTTACACCATAGGCGTTTTCTGATAGTCATCTATCTGAAAAACAGGGGACGTTTCTGCCTCCCAGCAAAATGGGTAATCTTAATGAGATTTATTTTTTTTTTTTTTTTATGTCCGTTGATTAAGTTATTGTTGACAGGTGGTGGGAAAACAGAGTATTTTAACGACTTATTTTTCACAAAAGGTCACTACGAGCGATACCCGAAAATATTCGATACCACTACTCGATACTGGTATCGAAAGAAATATTTGATACTACTGAAGTATCGACAGAAATTATTCGATACTAACAAGTACTTACTTATATGAGTACTTTTTCGTTTATTCATAAATGAGCAACTTAATATTGTGGACTTTGTTCATACTCTCATGCGTTAAAATAATCCAGAAATTACTGGGTTTTTTCATTTTTTAGTATTTTTTCATACAGTGGGTACGTAGGTAAGAACAAAGAAAAGCTGCCAACATATTTTAATTGATTTGATTGATCGCTATCGAGTTTTGAGAAAATTGATCAACGGGTGTTTGGTTTCCAAACGTTTGATAAGATAAGGCATATTCGCACTATATTCCCCGAGTTTACTAGATGCCGACGATTCAGTTTTCTTAGTAAAATAACCTCATGCCTTACTTTAGGGGCGAGACATAATTAGTATCTACCTACGAGAAGGAAGGCGAACACATTTTAGGGACTTGAAGGAAAAAACATTTTATACTAAATTACTGAAATAGAAATTGCTAAGCGCGATGCGGGAAAGAATTATGAGTTACAAAAATTATCAGCAGAGTTACCAACCACCAATTAAAAATGTAATTTGTTGACATATGCTGCTAGTAGGCGCTCTTAACAGTAACTAGTCAATTCCCAGTTTGATGAGAGGTAGGGTTCGAACGGTAAATAACAATTCAATATTACTTCTTCAATGTTATACTCAAAGAAAAATCTATTTGAGTATATTTTCCGATACTACAAAAAATATTCGTTACAGTACTTATTACGACGATATTACAATACGCCAATGCTCAAAAACAAGACTAATTAGTTTATCTATATCCATGGAGAAATACCAAAATTGCCTAAATTGAACGCCAGAACACACGAAAAAAAAGACCTTAGAAAGAATAATTAATTGAAAGAGGCTATTTGGTCAATTGATCCACGAAATCTAATGAATTTAAATAGACAATTTTAGTAATTTTAGATAATTTTAGTAACAGTGGAGGTTCTTCACTCTTGTTTTTAATTTTGTATATATTACCTTGCTCATTATTACTTGTTACCTATTTGGAGGTAGTTGTAATGTACTTCAAATTATATTAAACAAAATTGTAATAAAACAATTAAAAAGAAAAACCTAAAATTTTCTTTTGATGCATTTTTGAAATCCGTTATTTCCGTTCTTTGTGTTCAAAAGTAATAAAAACTTCACGACTCCGATGTAAATTGATTAGACAAGGTTATGTCGCACACATTAATGTAGGGAATCCGTTTAGGGATGCGAGTTATAATTCAATATAATCAAACCTGTTGGAGGCGGAAAGGATTCACCCTTCCACGCCCTTCCCAATCTAATATTCTAATATTCCACCCCCTTCGACAGTATGACAGTGCCGGATGGAAGGTGTGATCACCAGATGCACCCTTTGCGCCTTTCCGCATGCAACTCGACCCTCCTGACCCTCGTATTAAAAATCAAATCGTGACACTTCCCATTGTCGTGAGGGGCCCTTTGAAACGCTTTTGACGCCCGATCATAACTATTCATCCTTCCCTTCGCTTAATAATTCACTTACTCGGCGATGCAGCTTCTGGCCGTAGGGCTTTCAGGATTTTTAAATAGGTTTTATGGCCACTTCAACAGTAAGCGAGGGCGCCTTTTATGGTCTCCCCCATTAATTAATGTTATCTCTCTGCTTTAAAATCACTTCAATGCAATTTTTCAGACCTTACTTAAAATTCTTAAAGGAAAACTCCAGTATTAAAATAAGTAATTAAAATCCCCGCTTAATCAACTGTTAAGATAAATTTATAACGTTTTACAGCGTCTTTTTTACAATCCTTGTTTGTTTAAACCAACAACAAATAAATAACAAATATAACACCTTTCACAGTAAACATATGCCTCAATTCAATATATATCTCCTATTTCCTTCACCCTCTCGGAATATAATTTATATTAGTATATATTCTCATACGCTAGGCCGTAGGATTATAAGATAATATATAACCGTCAGCCTTAATCTTCGGCTAAATGGATGGAATTGACTATAGTACGGGTCAAATTCAAAACGCCCGGTATAAATTGTGTGTTATTTCAACGGAAAATCAAACTTGCAAACAATTATTTTTATTTTGGCTTATTTTTGGTAGCAGGATGATGTAGAATATTGCGAATTAGCCCGTATGTCCTCATTGTATCTGAGGTAACACCGCACTAAAAATTTCATTATGTCTGTTAAGGCTAATTCCTATTTATGAGAGCTTTATAAGGTATTACAAAAACAATTCACTTCAATTTGGAAAAAAACAATACAGAAAAAAATATTTCTTATACAGGGGTTATATGCTCCACCCCATACTTTTTATACTACAAAATTTGGAAATGCGAAAGACTCTATTTGATGAATATTACTTGCGCTCTCGTTTATTTTAAACTATATAAAACTATTATTTGTTAAAATGAGTTAAAGCTCCAATATAAAAAATCAATTTTCAAACAAAACGATATTTAATGATAATGTAAACAAAATATAAGGATTTGGTTCAATGAAAAAGCGAGTGACACTTGATTTTTTCTCTAAAAAAATTCATACAATTAACGTACAATTAACTAAAACGTGTGGTGTTTTGTGACCATTAGCCAATGGTTATTTGGAGATCGTGAGCTGCGGTCTGGTGTGACGTACGTTTAGAAAAACATTTTTTTTAACGTGCCACCGTTTCGATCTTTATTGAGATCATCTTCAGGCTCAAAGTGTTTGTTTTCTGTTTAGATGTGTCATTCTTGTTGTCGTGGTCACTCTCAACACGACACATACATCTACACAGAAAACAAACATTTTGATCCCTGAAGATGGTCTCAATAGAGATGGAGACATTGGCACGATAAAGAAAATGTTTTTCTAAAACCTACGTCACACCAGGTCACATCTCACGATCTCCAAATAATTAATTAACACAATATACTTTTTTTCAATTTTCGGGAATTTCATTTTATTCTGAAAACAACGCAAAAATTAATTTTAAAATCGGTTACTTTTAAGAAAATTAAACCTAAAGTAACAAAAAACACCATTATTTTTCGACGCACGAGAAACACACTACTGTATTTGAATAAACAAAATTGTTATTTCGATTATAATGGGCCCTAGAGTTTAAAATAAACTGTTTGTTTACTTTTTTCCAAATTTTTAGTGTTAAAGAATAACAGGGTGAAGCATGTAATTCTGGCCACTTTGTAAGACTTTGTTTAATAAAATTTCAAAAATATGTGCTTTGACATACCATAAACGATTCAAATTGATATTGTCAATAGTTCATCTCCACACCTGAAAATGTGCATAATTATTAAAACTTAATTTAATAAAATTTTAAACACTCATTTTGTAGAAATTGGACATGATATGGTTTTTCAAGCTTCTACCTATTTTGGAACTTTGTATTCACGCTCAGAAAGATTTTAATGAAGTTCATGTGCTTTCTCGTATAAAGGAAGGATTTTGTTAAAATTAAAAGAATCTAAAAAAAAATTGTAATGCCAAATTGTTGCATTTCTGAGGGAACCTTGCCAAGCACTTTTTTTTCAAATGTATTTATCACTTTTGAGGACTGTCAATCTCCCTCTTCTATAAAAAAAAAAGACGAGGAGGAAATTTAATATCAATACGTGAGTTCCGCTTTAACTACGTTTGCCATACAGGATTGGCTATTTACGCCAACATAAATTCTTGGTGTACCACGCAACCGTTAGCCATCCCACATAAAATATTCGCAATGTTTGTACGACGGCACATCCCTAGGTTGGGAATCGAGTGGGGTCTTGATTTACACTTGAGTCTCAGCGAGCCCCTGCTTCTTCCTGCTCGAGGGTTACCCCAAAGGGGATATAACCCAGCCCCCCTCACCTAACTAAATTCCTAACGCTCTGACTGATTTATCCTCAGGTCCTTTGATTCCGTGGACCGGGATACGAATGGCCCTTGAGGCCTATTTGCTCCGCCTCTTGCTCCCAATTTACCACTCCGAGTTTTCTTACCTTTAGAAAAACCAGTGGAAAACAAGTATTAGCACTGGCAATAGTAGATAACCGGAGAAACATTCTTATTAATTTCTATTTAAACATTTTCCTTAATTGAATAATTTGGTGTATTAATAATCAAATACACCTACGACGAGTTTACAGTGATATAGATCAAAAGCCACAATGGGGTCCAATTACGGTTAGGGTTCTATTGACTATAAACATGACCTTACACTTATAATTCTATAAATTTGAGTAGTTAGATGTAGATGAAATAGTCGGGGTTTAATATACTCGCCCTTTAAGAGCTATTATATCCACCGTTCTCTGCCTAAGCACACCGGTGAGTCCTATTTCATCAAGGAAGTAGGCCCAATTTCAGTGGTTGAATCTCTTCTAAGGTCACATTGTATGCCTCACTTGTTTGGCTTAATACGGAAAAATTCTCTATGGGTCTTCACGTTTCAAGCTTTTTCAGCGTTTTTTTGACATTTTATAGCAACTCTTTTCTTTCGTTTTTTTGTCTGGCCAACGTTTTGTCTGGTAGTATTTGTAGGCCACCACTTCTGCTTCGCCTTTTCCGCTTTTTCGTTTCTATTAACCCTTAACTAGATGTAGATATTAGTCGTGTTATACTACTAATATACTACTCCCTTTGAGAGCTATTGCATCCCCCGTTTTGTGCCTATAGCACAGCGGTAAGGAACTTGATTAGTAGGCCCGGAGTGGTTGAATTTCTTCTACAGTCACATTGTACATTCCAAAACACGTGTAGCACCGCAGTTTGTTAGTAGGTGTGTTGGTGTCTCCTCTGCCTCGTTGCTGACTTTGTATGTGCCGTCTTGGATTATTCCAATCCTCATAAGTTTCAATTTAGCTTGCAGCGTCCTGTGAAGAATCCTGTTAGGATTCGCAGTTAATTTCTGCTTCCTATGACCCATTCTGTAACTTCTTTTCTTCCGAAATTTGTAAGGAGATTTTTGGATTGCCTGTGTCCAATGAGGATATCCCATTTTTTCCTTTTTGTCCTTCTGTCTGAGGTATTCATTGATAGATTGGGTTCCTATGACGCAGAAGGGTTCGGGTCCTATCTGCTGTGTATCAGCACCTTTCCTTACAAAGTGTCTGCTTTCTCGTTGCCTTCTACTCCCATGCGTACCTAATATCTTTAATTTGGTTTTGCAGTTGAACACCATCTTTCAACTAATGATATTTGAGCTCAGTGCTTTGATGGCTGCTTGGCTATCTGACATGATAGCTATGTTCCTGTTTTTGTACCCTTTAGTCAAATTAAATTGAGTACATCTCTCGTGTTAACTCGTGTTAACTTGAATAGAGAAATGTCCAATAAGATCGTGAACTCCGCCTTCTTTCCTTAGCATGTTAAACGTTAATTTTTCCACATTGCTGCGCGTGGCGACTGGTAGTACCAAAAGTAAAGCTGTAACAGGCCTTGAAGTCTTGTTGTTGTTTGTTATGGTTTTGTTTTGTGTTAAATTGTAAGATGCCAGAAATTATTAAAAAAGGAAAATTAATCAACTCTTTCATTCAAAATGATATCCATGCACTATAAAATTACTAACAAATGACACACTTCAATTCGTGCCGACATACCTAACTTGTATCCTAACGTCTACCATGCTACTACTTTATAGGAAAGAGGTCCTTTATCTTTTATGAATAAGAATATAACGACAGGTCAGAAAAAACAAAAGAAATGTATTGGTCTGATTTAATTAATGCAGATTTAATAATTTTAGGTGAAAAAAATAATTAACAGGAATAATTAATATGGTCAAATATGACCACTATACAAATATGGATTAATTCACGAGTTTTACAATAAGATTAATAACAAAACATTGTGTAAGGGTTATACAAAAAATGTGATATCCGCCAACTAAATTCACTCCTGCCATGTCTTCCTGAATTTTACAAATTTAAAAAATGACAAATCAATGTTAGATCAGGAAAAGTGGTTCTGCAATAATGGTCTGGTGTAGAACAAAGAAAAACAAAAACTATGTTACTAAGTACTTATAATATTGATGGTTTCATTATCTTTTATGAATAAGAGTATAACGACAGGTCAGAAATTAACAAAAGAAATGTATTCGTCTGATTTAATTAATGCGGATTTAATAATTAAAAATACGTGTAAAGAAAAAACAGCTGTTTAATTCACGGCTGCCATGTTGGTTACCTACGCCCTAACGGATAGCAATGTGACTACATTTTCGACCTAATATCTAACATTGGCCCTAGCCTGTTAGAACGTGCAATTTAACTAGCCGATTCTTACAACTCTGCGTCATCATTTTTCTCGATCTAACTCGACTAACAGAGTTAACAGGGTTAACACAAAGATCGTGAATACCCCTATTAATTACATTGTAAAAGGTCAGTACATTTTTTGTGCCTTTACTCACGAGATTTTTTTACTAACAACGCCTTTAATGGCGCCTGATCCTTTTAGGCTTTATGTTCCTTTGTTTTTTAATCTTTTGGTGAAAGTATTAACTACGAAAGTCAAGATTAAATTACTATTATGTGCGTGTAATATCAATTTTACTTGTAGCCCAAGTTTATCTTTGTAATGCATTAATTTTTTTTATATTTTCGTGGAAAAGAAACTAGGACTTTTTAAAAGTTTCTTTGGGTAATACCGAAATATAACGGATGTGTTCTCAAAACAGGAAAGTCATGACGCAACAATTTATTAAAACACCTTGTTTAAGTAGAGTGCAATCCTTATTTACGCAAAGAAGAACACGTTGCAATAAATTCAGGAAATGTAAATAGAAAGTTGTTATTAGAACACCACACATTTTAACACTTGTTACTTCAGTGAACCTAATAATTACAAAGTTTAGACGTGTTCCTTTGCGTGAGGAAAGTAAAGTCCCTTATCCGCCGACACCCCTTTTAAGAGACGGCAAACTTTAACAATTCGCACCATTTGAGTGTCGTGTAATAAGCACTGGTAGTATAAACTTCAATTTGTACCGGAGGAACTCAAGCCGTTCGGACCGGACGGGATGAACGTATTAACCTCAATGTCCGTCAGATGCGTTAAAACGGCTTCGATTAATTAAAAATAAAAACCCGTTGAATGATGATTTGATAAAGGTAGGGAGGAAGGACAGCGCTTGCAACTTTATATTTCCGTACAATAAATTGGAACGATATTGGAAAAAGGAAAGCGAGACCACGGCGGAAGGGCTGTGCAGAAGAAAAATAACAGAGCGATATTTCTACTTTACGGCCTTTTAAGCCTACAAAAAATACAATTATTCACCAACTTGAGAACAAAACGCGTTATGCTCGGACCATCTTCCATGACATGTTCACTTTATGTCAATAGAAATGTTCAAACGAAAAAAAAAAGCATTTATTATTTTTGGTGTATTACAATTCATTGAAGTATACTATTTTTCAAAGGGTCCGTAGTAAGAACGGCTGTAATGGGATTTTCTGTTCTCCAAGGGATAACTGAGAAAGAAGGAAAGGCCCGCGGACAAGACATGATGGTACTTCGGCCCATACTGGGAATAGGGGAATGCAGTGGGAATCAAACCTAAATCCAGTTACTCTTCTTACTGACGGCAGGAGTGGCGAAAAATGTGTCAAATGGGGTTGGATACTTGCCCTTTGCGGACAAATTGGATCAGGGTCTGCTTGAGTTCTGATGCAATTACAGACAACGAAAGAGAGCGATGCTCGAACATTCGTTATGTTCAAGAATAGGCAAGCGGGAAAATATGCCAGAAAGCCGATAACCTTATTTTCCGGGAGTGGAGCCGATAATACGCGGTTCTCAAACCTCAAATTACACTGGATGCCAATAAATTCCAAATCTCGTATTCCTCCATGATTTGCTACACCGCGATCAATTATACAACAGTTGTCTTTTTCGTCCAACTAAAGCACTCAATGTTCAACATTATTATTTAAAACTTAATAAGAAAAGCCGGTGTCTTAATACTTTTGAACATTTGAAATATGGGAAACATATTTATTCTTGATTTATATATNTGTGTATATATATATATATATATATATGTGTGTGTGTGTATATATATGCCTATGCAAGTGTGAAACATTCTCTTTCTTAACTACATTATCTCGTTTATTTTGTATTTCACTACCATTCTCTTCTCTCACATTGTCACTCTCTTTCTCACACCTATCACTCCCTTCCTCACTCCTCTTTCTCTCTCTCTTTTTCTTCTACTCAGATTTTATCGTTTAAAACATAATCTTATTCTCCCTTCCCCCAGG